AACGTGTAATTCATAGATGAAATTTTTTATAACAAGCCCAACAAAGTCGCGAGAGTCACGACTCTGTACAAGTGGGCAAGGGACGGACAAACGCGTTCCCGTAGGTACACACACGATCTTAGATTAGAGACTCGTCGGGGCCCAACTTGCCTCGTCTTCCAACCGCTACCACGTGATAACGATGGTTATACGCAACACAAATACATAAACACGAGTGCAGATAGTTTAAAGTTGGTAGAATTTTCCGCGTATATTGCATGAGGCGTAAGAGACTTGTGTGCGCCAGTGCAAATCTAACCGAGCGCTCGGCGCTATAAATCGAGGAAGACGTTGGGTCAAACCGTGGAAGATGCTGATGCAGGGAGATAGGCTCTCCTTACGCCGCAACTTCCTCGTGGCTTTCTTTGGTCAAGTGGGAATTATCATTTTCCACGGTGGTGAAAATTCCCAGAAGGGGTTGATATCCCTTGGTAAATTAACTCCGAGGAAGGCGCCCAGTGTTGATGAGCTTTTCAACGCTCTCTCCAACACTCCGACGATTATTTATTCCTCACTGCTAGAAAATTAAACTTTACATTTTTAACAACTAGTCAGTGACTAATTATTGGATAATTCTTCATCAACAAATCGGGTAATTTATCAAAAATTCAAGTAATTTTCTATTTTCAGTTGTAAAATCACTAGTATTTCACATTGTTGAATATTTTCCGGGAGTCTAGTTGTCAAATTTTTTGGTGATACTTGACACCTTGTGTCTAGGCGGCGAACCTTGAGGAAAATGTCCCATTAATTTTATAATTCATGTTTTCAAATTTTCGGATAAATTAATGGCATTTAGCTTGATTCATTCATCAATTAAGAACAAGTCTTCAAGAATTTTCATGAATCTTGAATTTTATTTTCTATCGAATTCTTTTTTCAACATTAAGAAACTTTTTCTCTCCGTGACGGACCACTATTTCGACTCACTTATTACGGCACTTTTCCCTCCGTATATTCCCATATTATTTTTTGTCATTATTTTTTCTCCGCGCAAGTCGGTTCAGCAGTCTCATCGACTCAATGTTAATTCGCCGCAAGTATAAAAGTCCATAATTTTCTTGCCCCAGGAGTATCGACTTACACCTTAACTTGTCGCTCGCCAAGAAACGAATCGCTAATAGCCGCTGCCTCGCGCAAACTCCGAGACTTCATGCACAAGTATAAGAAACTGGTCTCACAGGGCAAAGCCGAGAAAAATCCCAAATATGGTTGATTATTTTTTCCAATCTCATCTCGACCAATGAGAACGCACTATTTGACGTCAACCGACAGTTTCATTTTGGATATATCTTCCTACCCTGTCAATATTTCGCAGTAGCTCTTCATTTCGCCGATTAATTTCAATCCTCTGTGATTCCCTATGGAAATCCAGTTATTCTATTAACATAATTTATTCAAACATTCCGCAATCCACCTCCTAATGTTGACCGCTGCATTCTGATTGGCAATATCCAATTGGGAGATAAAACTATCGATTTTATAGGCGTTGACTAAATGACATGATAAAATCACATTAATTAAAAATTATGATGAAATGATAAGAACACTGCATATCGATTAGACCAAAATCAGGATTAAAAAAATTATCCTCTGGACACTCCTCAGTCTTCAAAAATAATCAGATATTTCCCACAAGCTCCTCTGCATACTAACGATCCGGAGAGATTTTTTTTCCGAAAATTACCAACTCTCGTTGCCACGCAATCAAGCAACTGGGAAATATCCGATAAATTTAAGGTCTTGAATAAAATTAGTTATTTTTCTGCGTAATCTACGGAATATTATTGAATACACCGATTCTGTTGGTTGAAATTCTGAGAGATAATAATTCGAAGCGTCTTGAGTGATTCCTCCGGGAGGGTCCAAATCTTTCGATAATAATTGTAGCACGTGATGCAAATATAGACGCATGAATCCACTCGCGTAATCTAATATCCAATATTTAACCAAGAACACGTGCCGACGGGGCTGCTACATGATTTAGCCGATTCCAATGTGTGCACACATAGATGTAATTCATACGTAAGGTAAATGCCGTCTTGGCGCCGTTTTATGCACATGTATGGGCGGCTCTACTTCCGTATGCAACTATCATGATTATGCGGGTGTGAGGGCTCCCTGCACTTTCACCATGGCTCTGATAAAATTGGCTTCAGTGCCAAAATCCATAAGTGTCCGGATATTTTCATACGGTAACTAGAAAAAAGTTAATTGACTACAAGACAATCCCGACATTTTGGATGCAAATCGTTGTATGTGATTCCGTGTAGCAAGTAAATTTACTGGCCGGTAAAATTCAAGTAAAAATTCTTTACGACTATATGAATATTTAGGGCCAAATTCCAGGCTGTTTTCCGATTTTTTTAAGGGAAAAATTGACGTAAACTTTCAATTTTCGAGAAGTTATCGATTTTTCATTATTTTTGCGGAATATAGTTGAATTGAGAAATTGAGAAAAAATAGTTTTATTCATTTGTCTTGATGACTTGAGACATAATTATGTTTCTTTGAATTTCTCATCGACTCTGAATTCGAAATACCGGAATCATTCATTTTCTCTATTTCCATTTGGTATTATCAGGTGAAAATACCTCGATTTTTAACGGTTGGATGAATATATTTTCGGGAGAGGATTTTTTTTTCTTCCATTGTTTCAACAACTAAAATGAAATGGTAGCCTGCCCATCCGATCTTCAGGGCGTGCACCCTTGAAGTAATTCCCCACGTGTTTACAACTTCCGCTGTATTCACAGAATCATACTCCGCACTGATGATCACAATTTCCATACAAGGTGTGCATTAAACAGGTGTATTACATTTTGGGTGGCTGTACAGTTTATCGTAGTGGTTAGACACTGCACTCCATCGCAAATCATTTTCATAGCCATGTTTTTATGATCTCCGCTTCCATAATTTATGACACAATTCCTACTGCTCCTGGCTGGTTAAACGGATTACCGGGGCGAATGCGTTAGAATATCCATTAGGGGGTTCATCGTCGGGGAAAAAAATCACCTAAAACGAATGAAAAATAAAATAAAATAATCCATTAGCATTAAGGACTGACAGAAGTGCGCGTGGGAAAGGTAGAATCCAAAAGTCACCGATACAATGCCATATGGAATAATGAATTCGCCATTAAAACGAGATCTTCTCGGTGTGAATGAATGTGTTTTTCATCAACCACTCAACGATCATATATGAATTACAGTGGTGTAATAATGACTTCCTCCTTCATTCTTATCGTGAAAAAAATTTACGCGGACGCCTTATGGAGTCATTACGGTGGTGCCGCTCCTCCGATATTTTCGAGGCGAGACGTGATCGCGTTTGGTGGATGAAATTTAACTTAATGGTGGGCGCAATCGTCTAATGTGGCCGATTCAATTTCAAATGCAATCCTAGTGCATTACGGAAAATAGGAGAAATCTAGCGAAAGTTAACGCAACATCAGTATTTTCAACGCGGTGCGTCCAACTCACACTTTTGTCTGAAATCTTCCGAATTCAGACTGCCGCAAAAAATGGCTTCTGTACACAGGTGATTTAAAAAAGGATTAATGACGAAAATAATCTCTTGTCGATTTTGGAATTGGTGCGATCTCCTGATAAAACACTTTTTGTTCTCTCAATAAGCGATAACTCTTCGAATTAGATGCGATTTTCTTGTCTCGTCCAAAATTTTTCTCGATACGAAAATTTATGTCATCTTCATAAATATTTCGAATTTCCTGCTTTTCAGTCACTGACGTTTTTTAAGAAAAAAACGTTAAATATTTGAGATTTAATCCCTATTTTACGCAATGATCGAAATTTTAATTGGAATTAAATCGAATTTCGAATTTCTTATCATTGAATGTGCAATTTACAAAAAAAAACATTAAACTCCTCTTTCTACAAAAATGCGAAAAATTTCCGATCGAAATCTCTTGAAAATGAAGCAATTAATTTTCTGTACGTCATGAAATTTCTTTTGTAAAAAATTACTCACCCGGAGCTTTCGCAATTTTTTAACTTCAAAGAGAGAATATTATTGAATATTATATTGAGTAAATTTAATTTGCAAAAAGGAGTTTTGTTAGTCCATTACGTGATCTATTGAGGGGGTAAGATTATTTGCTAGCATTCAGAATCAATTCACCTCGCAAATTGTCGGCGGGTGGTCCCAGCGTCATTGCAGCATCCTCTGAACTCGGAAAATCAGCAAGAACTCCAGGAATAATTGTTATTACGCTCTGTACTTTGGTAATATCTCGTGTGTCTCGGGTGGGCATGTAATTGTTTTAACGTTTTAATAACTGCGCTCGCGTGCAAGTGAGCGGTGTAGGGTAATTCTCCACCATATTCGTAATGTCTTTTGCCGAGCGGCTGATGCCATGAGGCCACGGAGCGACAGCCGTTGACACCGCGCCAAGATGCCATCTTAATTATATTCTCAAGTGACATTCTACCTCAGACAGGAAGGAGTATCGTCATTTTTTAGGCTCTTTCCAGGGGACTAATTGGTCTTGCCTTTCTACTTTTTCGAGATCTCTTGTGGTTTTTTCATTGGCCAATCCCCAGTTGCGCGTGCAAGAACTCTTAAAAATTTCCTGAAATTTCACTCACCGGGTTTTCTGAATTTTCAATTATACGAGTTTCAATTCAATTTTAAATAAAAATTGTTACGCCACAAAATTATCTGATTCATCAATGAAAAATTCCATATGCTGAATCAATCTGAATGAATTCCGTAATTGACAATTCAAAATTTTATGGAATCACCAATGAAAGCTGTCGATTTAAGTTCAATCCCAGTAGGAAATTTGGTCGAAATATAAATAATCTGAAATAGCGAAATGGTGACAGCTGGATTCCAATAAATTACTAACCGATCATTAAATCTTCATGGAAAAATTATTTATTAATTATTTATCGTACGTAAAGAATAGATAATTTAAATGAATTTAAATGTTTCAGGAGGAGAGCGAGCTCTCGAGCAAGCGGTGGGCGAGTGCGCCCCGCCGTCCAGACAGCCCCTGCATCCTGGGGACACCAACGTCTAGAGAGGTAAGTACACCCCGTCAATTTAAAACCAATAAATTCCAGTAAAAAAATCCAACAAAAGAATCAAACCAGCCCCACCTATTCACACATGCAACATAAGGACATCTCTCAGCTGGTTGAGCATACGGCTCCCGCGATGGAAACTGGCTTATTGCTCTTGACGCGTACGTGATGGCACCCAAATCGTAAAGGCGGCTTGTATGGCCCTCGAAGTGATTGCTAATGGTGACACCACTACATACAACTCCTGTGTACTGCCGCGTGATAGCGCATGTCGGGTTGACAAAAAAAAAAAGACACAGCGCACCGCTCTTCAGAGGCATTGCTCAGCATGTCAACACGTACGGTGCGCTGTTGTTGTCAGGTCGGTTAGGTGAGAAAGTGCGGCTAGAGATTAGACACTCGACACTTCAGTCATCCCGAAGTGTCGATTTTTCAACCTTTTACTGCCAAAGCACCACGCAATAGAAACTTTTTAAATCAAGTTCAATCAAGTCAAGTTGACAAAATTATTCAATTTCATAGGCCATTTCAAGTCGTTGAGGATTTGAATGAAATCCCATTGAACTTGATTAATATTAGGTAATCAATTCAATATTTCGAGTTCTTGATGACGTGAAACGAGGCCCGATCTGTCTTCATTTGCGTTACCACAACGACATGATTCAGTTTGTCTTGAATCAACTCGACGACTCGATTTCTATCAAGACCAGCCACCTCCATATCTGATCGACGGAAGTAATCAACTGTGACTCAGAAGGATGCAAATAGATACATCAGCTGGAGTCAATTAAAACCAATTTTTGGTCTGGATAAATTTATTTTTAAAGCCCGATAAAGTTCAAGTGACTGAGTCTGACCGAACCCGCCGTCGACCTGAATGATCACTCATTTTTCGGATAGCTTTAAACTCATCCAGAGGTAAATCCACTTGATGGTGTGCACCAATGAGATGTGACTCTCTCATAGGATCGCCAATAGCCGAGCGTTGAATATGGCTCCACATAACAGAGCGGAGAGCATCCACCGGTGTGATTCCGTTATCCTCAGCTGGGATGAGTGAGCTAGCTCCTCTTCCCACGCCAATTAAACATGACTCATTAACGGCCGAGAGAAGCCAGGAGGCAAAAGGCCCGTCTGCAAGCCGACTCGGGGATCGATGCCTGACCAAGACTAGCCGGCACAACCCCTTCCCCATATAACTCGTGCCAACTCCGTGAACAAGCAATCGGAACTAATCTTATCCGCGTTCCCTTTTCATTCTGACGATAGGATATGTGTCTGGGGTAGCTTGAAAATACAAGTGAGGTGGAAAATGTACGATAAAGAGTAACAAGTCCTGTGGGAAGATCTTACGGGGATTTCTTAGGCTGCATATCGTACCGTCGAGATGCCTCGTTCTTACCCCCCTCCAACTGAAGAGTTATTTCCTTTCTTATCGTCTCCCACCAATACCCGAAGAGAGGCGTCAAAGTTCGATTTATCCGTGGTGATCGTGCTCGCACGTACCACCGCGGGTGAATCGTAAAAGCTTGCGGGGCCCAGCGATTGCGCCAGTTGATGCCTCTCTCGTCTTCTCAGGGAAGAGTGACCGACGGCGCTGATGTACGTGGGCAGATCGACGATTCAACAGCGTTTATTTTCTTGCTCGAGATTGCCTCTCATCCTATGCCTACTCCATCTACGTACAACCCCCCTCCATTTTTCTCATTTTCTTTTCCATCTTATTGATGATGGAGAAAAGAAAAAATGGGAATTTCATTTGGAATGGGAGGAGGATGGGAGAAAATGAATACCGTTTCCAGGGGTCAGGGTTGAAGAAGCTACTCGAAGACAGTGTGTACTGTTAAAGCCGTATACTTAGACATCCACAAACCTGGCTTAATAAATATACCGTCTCTGTCTAGTCACCGGTGCACTCTTGTATGCGCGATTGACATTTTTTCAGTGTGGATCTTGTGGAGGTATCGTCTCTACTCTGATGATAACGGTAAAGCACTTGAGAAAGCCTTCGCCGGCAACAATACAAACGCGTTGCAGTGCCGTTGAGGTAGATACGGACCATGTATATGCATTGGGTGTATTCTTCGTCCCTTGTGGAGCTGAGAACGCATGAACCTGCCGGCTTCTGACACAGCCTGGTGTCCATATTCCAATGGCCAGAAGCCAACGACAACGTGTAGCCACCTTTCTCTAAGATGTCGCACGGCACAGGGGCTAAATCCCGGTCCTACAGACTCGCAAGGGGATCTTAAATTATTGCCACTGCCATTTTACCATTACTCGTGATTGTTGGAATTCCGTGGGGCTTCGGCAGTCTTGGAATCCTTGATGGAGCGCCTCTGGATTTTCGTTATTTCACTCGCTGAATCGTCTAGGTGTTGTGGGGATCACTTGCTGTTCTTTCAATGTTTTTCACTGGGACCGGGAAAGGAAGACCGACAGACTGTGGGATCAAGTGGGCTAGATGGAGTCGAGGGATCTCTACCTCAGGTACTTGCCACTTACGGAGATTAGCGCCCGAGACTTACGGGGAAGAGAGGTAATAACCCTAGGACTGGTGCCCGTTCAACTTACTACGGGTAGGGGGTATACGGCCACTATCCGACGTAAGCCTTTTTCAGATTCTAATTAGGAGGAATTTCTAAATATGCAAGGAGAAAAATTTTCAAGATAAATTGTAGTACAGTGCTTGAGGAGGCGTGCTGAGTGACGGATAAGGATAAATTGTGGTGTAGATCCATTTTTCGACTTGATTAAAATCGCTTTTTCACGTTGGTTATAGTCCATTTTGAATCAATTGCTCATTTACTCCATTCGAATAGGCAGGACGTAGGCTTCATTAAAATCTATTATAGAGAACTAGATGGCAGAACAATTTGGAAAATACGAGGCATTCTGTTAACCGATGGTTACCAAACATGGATAGTCCAGACGAGGATTTGAACCCGGGACCTTTTGATTATGTATCGAGTGCTCCCTTAACTGAACTATCTGGCTCCTAGCCACTTCTTCATTTCAGATTTATCGTACATATCAAGTAATTCCTCAGCAATTTGAATTTCGATTGAGAAATTGACTCGAATCAAGTGACTACCACTTGTAAATCACTTTATTCTGTGACTAAAGCAGTTCTTTCAGTTTGATTCAAGACAGTTCTTCAACTTGATTCAACTTGATTCTTGGGTTTGATTTAAATCAATTGTTCGACATGCAACTGATTTTTCTGAAATGCATAACGTTGCGCTTCATACAGGTCGTTAGCTTCTGATTGTTGGTGTATGAATGACTCGGCTTGAATCAAGTCGAGAGTCGCCTAGAAATATCTCTTTTTCTTTGGATGCACATACGATACCTAGGGCAAATGCTGTAAAGATCTTTTATGCCGTTTGGCATATAATATCGATCTGTACGACACTCCGTCGCCGGCGGCAATCGTACGAAGATGTGCCTTGGCTTGATCAGTGTACCATGATAACGGTAACGACAAAACGTGTCTTGGACGCGTACACCCTGTGCCTCCTCTCCTTGCATAAGGTTATGGCCATTTTTTTTTTCTCCTTCGACTCGGCATTAGACCTAGGCGAATGGTGCGTATGGGCTGGCTCTGGGCCCTCAGGATCGCAATCGCGGGTCGAAGGTCAGACACCATCGTAAATGCACATTGCGTACATCTATCGGTATGCCTTTCCGTGTATTTAGAATTGAGGGAAAACAACACAATTTCGATACGCATGTTGAATAAATAGCTAATTACACGGTTCGTCTGTCTAGTGATGATGACTATTCATAACACAATAATTGCGTGGTGCTATGGAATTTGCGCAATTTCGTCATTAGAGTTGCTCTGAATCGAGTTGAACGGGATAATGCCGGGAGTCAAGTTAGTTCATGTCGAATCGATGGAATAAATCGAGTTTCTCTTGAAGGAATACATACGTCTGATTCCAGTCGATTTTTCTACTTGATCCAGATTCATTGCCTGACTTAACTCGAGTTGATTTTAGGCAATTCAATTATTAAAAATTTCGGAGTTCATGAGGTGAATTACTCTTCTTTCTGGGTTTTTTCGAATAAATCGGTTAAATCGAAAAATCGATTTGGATTCGGTTGGGGTCAACTAGAGTTGGTATTTTTTTTTTTGGATCTATTTATCATTTCTCTGGCGAGTTTATGACTTGAGGAAGCTCCTTGATATGGATGATAAATCAATTAAACATTCTTCAATTAAGTTTTCTCTATTTTCTCGCAAGAAAAGCCGTCCAGTTCCTTCTGGTTTGGCGTTTTTACCGTTGATACGTGAAACAGTAAATTATTGAATACACATCAATTGAATAATTGATGATTTATTTACTTGTTTGAGATTAATGGAAACCCGCATTTCATCGCGGAAATTTTTTTTCGAGGCAGCATTCTCATCTTTGAAAGATGGTATGAGATAAATACTCAATTGAGAAAGGGAATGAGGCAAGGAGAGAGGGTCACGAGAAAGGTCTAAATATTCCAATAAATAGTACTAAATACTTTTGGACTTTGAACTTTTTTGAATTTCGAATTTTACAGGTAATAAGTTGAAAAAAAAATTAGGACTTAGACTTTTTTTTTTAAATTATTTATACGAATGAGATTGAAAAACTATAAATTTAATTGAATATTCAGGATAGAATTCTAGATATATTTTTTTTTCTTTTAATACCCATTTTAATTACTGGAGTTCGATTACGAATCCGAAAGTTTGATATTCCGTAATTTTCAAGTCCCAAGTTCAGAAGGACTTGAAATTTGAAAATTTCTCGGGTCCTAAGTCTTCGAAGACATTCGCCTTATTTCTACACGGAGAGGAAAATTCAATAAAAATTACCTATCTTTTCCATAATTCCGGAGCGAAATGGGGTTCTAGGAAATTTTCCAGAACTATCCCGTCATTTTTATCTAAAGTCCCAGTATTTTTCTGAGGCGTTCCGTAATTTCTATCTAAATTATGTAAATACAAATTATCTATG